AACCTCTTCAAAGAAGGTCTATCATCAAATATCCTATAGGTTATATCTTCTACACCATAAAGAAGCTAAACAATATAATCAACATCTTATTAGGGCTTATTATATCATTGTTAGATATATGATTTTACCTACTACAAATTGAGGTTGAGTATAAAATGCTTTTTCATGGTGTTTTAGTTTTGTGTGTACATATTAAATTATATCCAACAATATTTAATAATTTGTAGGCTTATTGGATATTACTCTTTTTCTTATTTACATTGATATAAATACTTGCAATTTTGTTGTACATGGGTAATTTTTACTCTTATTTTAAGTAACTATGGTAATAAATGACAACATGTTTTAATATAAAAGCCAATGATAGAATTAGAAAAAAATTTTTAAAAGACCTGACATTGTATTTATTTATATGTATTATTTTACATTTTTAAAACTATATTGGATATCAAACAGTTTTACAGACACTTTGAAATGTAAGGAAAGCAAACGGATAAAGAAAAATAAAATAACATCACGAGAGATACACAGTTAAGTGACAGAATAAACAAACACAATATGTACAAGTACCTTCAACACAAATAAAACAAATAATTCAATATCCAAATCCTAGTGATAAAATAAGATAACAGATAATTAACTAGGAATGAATGAATTGGAAGAGGGGTACTGCAATAAAAATGCCAATTAGCAAGGAAACCAAGATATACAATAGAGTCAAATAAATTTCAATTTGTTAATTAGCTGCTAATCTGTTAGCATTTTAAGTTTTCCCTCAAATTTTCCACTGAGCATTCTATTATGAAATTCATAACCAGATTCACAGTATTTAGGTTGGCAGAGAGAGGTTGGAATTCAGCAATAGAAATGAAGAATAATTTAAGAAAAAATTCCAAGATTTCCTGTATTTACCATGCATGAGGCAACTCATTTAATAAGTATAAAATAGTCTAATAGTAACACAGTGGAGACGGTTGTCCATATAATCAGTCAATAAGCAGTAAAATGCTAACAACTCGACATCTCCTTCTAGCCCCTCAATGCCAAAAATAAATACACCTGAACCATAAGCCACGGAATTTCTTAAAAAATAAAAATAAAAAAGATGTAAAAGAATAGTNAATCCTAAATTAATCATAGCATAGTATCCCCTTAATATTGTGTTGGATTCCAATTGTATGTAGTATATTTAGGAATTTTTATATCCATGTTTTTAAGTAAAACTAGTCTTTCAAATGTTTTATTAATAATATTGAGCTTTCTATTTGCCCAATATGATTAACTGAGCAATGATTAATTAGTGCTACCAAAAGTCATTAAGAGAAAGCATAAAATATCACAAATGTACATTCTAAATAAGAAGCAAGCCATAACAACAGAAGCAGAAATTGCAAAACAAATTGTGACACTTTAAGTTTAAAAAAAATGAAATCATACTACTATGCTTAAAAATTATTATATATTTCAACTCTATTCATACCTTTAAAAAAATTAACTCAACTGCTCTTAAAAATCAATAAAAGGAATTTTGCTTTATTTGAGTTTTTAAAAGCACTGCTTTAAGCTTTTCTTTATAATAATGTATATTAAGTGTGCCAATTTGCAAATTAACCACTTATAGGGGTTATATAAAAAATGTTTGCCAATTTGGCTGTGTAAAGAAAATTTAGTTTCGGTTTGAAATTTTGGCAAATGAATGACAAAATTTATGTGCACTTTTAGGTAGGACCAGATATGTTCATTTGATTCCTAAGGTATCTTCTGAAAGATTTTCCATTTTTCAGCATCCAAATTCCACACAAATAGGCAAATTTACGACAATCGAGTTATAGTCTTAGGAATTACCAAGCTCTTTTTCCCAGCCTCATGTTTTATGAAGTGTTAAAGTTAATCGAAATTGTTTCAAAGATGTTTCTTCTACAGAAAAAGACATTCCAAGTGTAATTTTAAAAACAAATATAATACTATTCTGAAATTTCACTTTCATGTCTATTTTATGGAAGCAAAAACATAAATTTGTGTAGAATTTTCCTAAGTTCAAAACAAGGGCAACATTCACTAAGCTATTTATTCCTAATGCCTTCTCCTCAAGCAAACTTTTGCTCAGCTTTTCTGAAAATCATGATTTCCTCAATGCCAATTTTCTTGCATTCTTATGAAACCTACACTTAGCAAGGGATTTACTCGTTGACTTCTAGTTGTCTATTCTTGCCAGAACGTTTCTATAAAGAATTGGAGCTAGTTGGAGTTTCTGTGAGGTAGGAGTGGACAGCATTTCTTCCAAAGTGATTCCTTCAGTTTAAAAAAAAAAAATCATGTAAGAAGGGGGAAGAAATGAAGAGTGATATTCTCTGAGAAGGAATAATTGCTGTTGTCCCCAGAGTACTAACAGCGTAGGTCAGCTTTCTCGAGAAAGTTTTCAGCAGGGCTCATCAACTGTGAACTCAGTAACAAAATTTAATGCTGCCAAGTGCACTCCTTGAAACTAAGCATTAACGACACAACACCATCACTGTACAGAAAGAGGCAAGTATATTAACTTAATGATAGACCAGTGGACCCCCTAAGGAATATGATTACATTGTGCCAGCTCTTGTATAAATGTTAGATCTTACATAACTGTTATTATTACCTCTTTTCCCCTCAAAGACCTTTTGAAGTGTTCAAAGCAAAAGATGAGAGAAGACATGTGCTGCCCCAAATCACAAAGGCGATTTGCTAAAATAAACCAGCCTAGTGCCCACAAAAACTTCTACTTTCATTCTTCTCAAATTGAAAGCAGTGTCCACTGGTTTCAAAAGGCCCTATCAAAACAAAATCCATACTCAAGTCTGAAACACAGCAACAGGCAGAGATGGGTGATATAATACTAATCTTACATGTTGGTTTCAGAAAGAAAAAAAAAAATCCCTACAGTTCAAGCTAATACTAGGGTATTGTGATTTCCATATTTTTCTCTACCAAAGTCACATGAGCCTATATGGAAACAATGCACTTTCAGAAGACAATGCTTATAAAGATGTGTTAAGTGAAAACAGCAAAAAGCAAAATTATATACCTTCCCCCTAGTAACACATATGGTAGCAAGAAACATACACAGGTAAATAAAAATTAAAAGGTGCATAGACACGGCAAAGGCTGATGTGTTAGAATTGTACTGCTGTGAATAATTGTTTCTTCTCTTATTTGAAGTGTATTAAAGCATTTTATGATTTCTTTTTAATTAAAAGTCAAAAACAGAAGTCACAAATTGCCAACCTGTGGGCCAAATCTGGCCCACAACTACTTTTAACAAAGTCATTAATATTTAACATTTAGGAGCTTGTTATATAAATACTTGAATTTTTAGCTTCTCATGCAAAATTGAAAGACGTGGAAAAACTGGGTCCATATTCCCATATGAGCTCAACCAGCCTGAGCTGTGAGGAGACCAGCTGTCCTTTATAAATAAGGTGCTTGCTAACCAGTAGCCACAGGACCCCACGCTCCACTCATTGGTTATCACCTGCCTATGTGCTTCTGCACGTGGGAATCCTGATGGAGGCAACTACTGGGTTGTCGTAAAGGTCATGACGCATTTTTGCAATGAAAAACATAGAAAAAGATACATTATGACTTCTCCGACAACCCAATAGATTAAGAAAGTTACCAAGACTCCATGCATTTTAGTGAATCGTCTCCTTTCCCTCTTCATATCTTTTCCTTTTGGATGCCCCTTCAGAGGTCAAATTAGAGAATGTCTATATCCGCTTTCAGAAGTTACATAACCTTGGAGTAGTCATAGTGTAATGAAAATTTGACAACTGACTCACAAAACAGAGCAGTCAACCCTGATGATCATGATAATTAATAATAATAATAAAAACATTTTTCGGACAAATGAGGCCAACTCTATTAAGCAAACAAAGAAGACACTTAAAAAAATTAAATTTAGGGCTAGAACATCTCAGTGTTCTAGTCACAAAGATTCTCATGGAAACCAAAACCAAAGTAGAATAATGAGAAGCTGGATATATATTCCATTTGTCTTTGGTCCTTCCCTGCTTTCTTTTAGGCCTAAACTAATGGATATTTGTGTGTGTTAAACAAGACACTCGTTAAACTAGCCCACTCGAGAAAGGGTAGTATATAAGTTTATCATTTCTGGTGTTTAAAATCATTGCTATCCCACTAAAATAGCAAGCCATCATAAATTTAAGCATAAAATGACTGAGTATACAGGCAGATGCATGCACATTTTACAGTGCACAATGAAGTAGTAAGGTTTCTAGGCCTTTTGGAGTGGAGGAAGAGGGGTATTATTGACATCCCATCATGGCCTTTGTAAAGGGACAATTCTTACCTTGTTAACGGTCCCAGGTCACCTGAGTCTTGGCTTCCAGCTTCACTGGGAGTGCTCACTGATTTCGAGGAGGGAGACATAGGGGTTGGGACTAAATAATGAAAATAACAGGTATCCCATGTTAAAAAATGCAGCGACTGCACTGGGGAAGAGCAGTGTCAGACAAATTAAAACAAATGGGCCCAAATTAAAGTGGTCATATGGCCAGGAGAGTTTGAGATGGGACAAGAAAAAAAAAAGAAAGAAAGAAAGAAAGAAAGAAAAAAGAAAGAAAGAAAGAAAGAAAGAAGGAAAAGAAAAGGAAGAAAGTCAAGTGAATTTTTTATATTTTGGAAATTAAAATTTGAAATGAATTTTGACAGAATTAACTTAGGGATTCTAAGGCCATGTCCACCTTAACAAAGTAAAATGGAGGATCAAAATAGTTATCCAGATAATTCGAGTCAAGGATCTCTCGGGTATGAACTATCCAGTTAATTCTAATTCTCCACTTTATTTTGTTAGTATAGATGTGACCTATTAAAAAATAAAATGAAGTGTCTATAAAACTTTAAAAGATTATGAAGTCAATGATTCTGGCTAATTTCAATGGTCAAGAAGAGTCAGAAAAGTCTACTGTATGTCTGCATTTGGAGGGAACTCTATTGCCCATGGATTATAAACTACATTTGCTATGAGAGACTAAGTGACAG